CTGGGACCACGCTCTCATAGAATACCAACGTAAAATAGCAGCTTAATGCTGCTCTGTTTCGTATGGTGAATGTACTGTAGTACAACCTCCTCCTCAGGGCTGACAATGCATAATCTACATTTTGATTCTTAATCGAGGATATTTGAAGAAGCCTATGGACCAGCATCCACTTCCATCAGATGGACTGTGTGCTCATTTGTCATTCACTAATTTGTCTTTTAAATTTTAAGTTTCCTTCTCATAGGTCCGAGTCGATTGTGTGTACGTCATAGCATAAACTTATGCTCATGGCCGAATAAAAGTGTAAACAGTAACCAGTGTTTTATTACACAATTTATTTAAACAAAGAAAAGTCAGTGTAATAAAAACTGTGCACTGAATAACCTCAGAAATATAACACGGAAATCGACATAGATAACATCATCACAACATGCAAATATTAAAATTCGTGGAAATGATGAATTCTTTAAAATTTATCAACGTAAACCTGGCTGCCTTAAATCTACAAATAAATAAAATTGAAGTGTCTGTTTGTAATGTCAAAATTACAGCTTTTAGTTATATTCATATGAAAGTATATACGGTACTAATAACAAAAATACAATTTTTAAAGTTTTTGTCTGTCTGTTTGTTTGTTCCGGCTAATCTCCGAAACGGCTGGACCGATTTTGACGGGATTTGCACTGGCAGATAGCTTATGTCACAAGGAGTAACTTAGGTTACTTTTATTTTAGAAAAAGAATAAGGGTTCCACGCAAAAAATTAAAACCCCAAATAACACGCGGACGAAGTCGCGGGGAACAGCTAGTTTCAAATAAAACGAAATGCGTTTATATAAAATTTTATTTTAATGATAACAATCCATTATAAAAAGGTAAATGTACTTAAATAACAAGCAAAACTCATACATTGATAATAATAAAAACGTAGACGGATAAAGGGTTAAACCACAAAAAATAGTATTTTGACAATGACTTAGTTTTTGATAAAATTGTCTTCTGAATTTTGTCCAATCTTAGTACGTACAGAGAGATAGAAAACAAAATGTTATTGTTTTTAAGTTGACGGCTTAGTAGAACAACGCCAAGCGCTTATTCATAACAAGGGTAACATTTTCGGGTCTAACAGGAGGGTGATAATATTATGTTTGTAATTATGTAGTATAATATTATGTTGTAAATATACTATTTTCTTCTAAATTCTAATTAGAATTTGACAAACGTCTCTCAATTGGTTACTATGAAAGAGTTACCCATACACAAATTGTTTTACATAATATATAAATTGTGCATGGACAAACACCCAGACAAAATGCTTAGAGCCACTGCATTATTGAGCCATTGAAAATAATTTATAAATAGAAATAATTTGAATTTCTGCACATTAATTGATTGAATAAATATAAAAAAAAGAGTTAGATGTTATGTAACTCTTAACTCCCTTACAAGTCGCGGCACCTAAGTCTAGCGCTGAACGAAACGTGGAGGGGATAGCTGCGCATGGTACTGTCGCGCACGTGTCACGTATCAGTATAATACGGCCGACGTATCTTGGCGAGTCTGAATATAGGCTCTGCGAAGTTTAGCGCATGAACACTCGTGAAGAAAACTGTTATTGTCATTTTTTTATATATACCAATGTACAAATAAAATTTCCCTAATACAGTGACCAAAAATATCAAAACACTTTGGAGACATTATAAATTAAAGATTCAATTTTGATACCTCACCTTTCGATAGGGGCAGATTTTATCACAAACACATACAATATTATTTACATTTAATACTTTTTATTTATTTACACTTATTATTATTTAATCACTGTCGCTGAGGGGGGAAATTCCTAACATAAAGTCGTCGGCCCCTTGTGTACCATGTGAGGTACTTGGCATAGGTTCATCTTCGTAATCGTCGCTCTCACTTTCAGACTCACTTTCTGAATCTGAAGCTGTATTAATGATGAATAATTGATCCGTCATTTCGTCAATAATATGGTCGCTCTTCCTATAGTCATGTTCGACCTCTTGCACTTTTCTGCATAAAGCACTCCATTCATTCTGACCCATTAAATTTACTTTTTCTTGTATGAGCTCCATTGTCCGGGTTACGTTCCAGTCGACGTTTTTAGCGGCTACGTGCCCTTTAATGGCAGCCCACACCATCTCGATGGGGTTTAAATCGGGATGATATGGGGGTAAACGAAGGACATCGTGGTTGTTTTGTTTAAACATTTCATCTATTACGTATTTTTTATTCACGTCTTTGTTTTTTTTTATTAGATCGTAAAGTTGTGGTTTACGCATGTCCTTTTCATATGGTATACCCTTTTCTAATAACCACGATTCCATTTTTGCCTTCTTGTCATTAGATGTAGGGGCAGGATCCATTAATTTGTTGTGGTACGGAGCATTATCGATAACCACCACCGAGTTAGGGCTCAAATTTGGAATCAGTTGGGTCCGTAACCATTTCTCATAATTTTTGAAATTCATGTCATCATGATAGTCTCCGGTTTTGCTGCCAGATTTGAACATTAGTAGCGCGTTCGGAACAAACCCTGCTTCTGACCCAGCGTGTACCATCACTATCCGCTGACCTTTTGATATCGGGCGCTTTAGTCCTTGAGCGGAACCATCTGACCACGCCTTACCTTTTGTATGTGATGAGTGGGCATACGACTCGTCAGTGAATACAATTGGTCGCCCTTCGTCCCTGTATTTTTTCATTGCCTTCAAGTACAAGATCCTTTTCAGGCGAATGTCGGTCTTCTCTATAAGAACCATTCTATTGGTTTCGGTCTTTCGCCACTTGAAACCCAAGTTTTTGATAATTGTCTTTAAGCTCGTTTTACCACCTTGAAAATTTATATCCCGTTTGAGTTTCGCTAGTAATTTGTTTATCGTCGGCATTTCTTTTTCAGTTTTGTGGAAGTTGTGTATGCATCTTTTTACTACTCCCTGGTCAAAATTATCCATATCAGTAATAGGTTTTGATCTAGACCTTTTTTTACCAGGCGTGCGGAATACTGAAAGTAAGCCCGAAATATTGCCTTCAGTTGCGATCCGCTGTACTGTGCGTTGGGACACACCAGTTGCGTTAGCAACTCTTAAATAAACTTTATCGACATCTTTTACGCCTTCTTCTTTTTCTTTTTTCATATATTGCGTTAAATCGTAAATAATTTTTCTCGCCTGGCGATTTAACACACTGTTATGTTTTGGTGGCATGTTTGGCGAATAATATAAGTGCTAACTGACACTTGCAAATAAAACAAATAAAACAAATAAAACAAACAAAACAAACTTAACACTATTAATAAAAACAAACAACAATAACAACGAAAACTTTTGTAACCGACTGTGCTCAAGACAGAGATAGCGACACGAACACGACACCAATGCTAACGTGTGACTGAGAAATATTACCGTGTACCGAGCATTGCCGAATAAGCACGAAGCTTTACGAAGTAACCAGAAAGGGATGTCCAACACGCGTGCCTGAGGGTGTTGTTTAATCGATTTTTATTCAAATCGATTAAAATTAAGACATAAAAATATATTTATTTGCAATTTATAAGGAGGTTCTAAATTTTCTCAAATAGTCGTTACTCAAGAAGACGTTAATAGATAATTGATATTTAAGTACATTATGTCTTTCAGCTGAGAAAATAATATGTTTTTAGTTTTTTTTTTTTATTTAAGTCGAAATCTTGTTTATTATCAACAAAATTCACTATATTTGTAAATCTATTTCGTTTAATATCTTATATAAACAAAAATCAATAACTTCTAAATAAAACTAATCGATTGCGATATTTTATGACTAAAGGGTCGATTGTGTTTACTTATGGTCAATCTCTAGCCTAGACCACCGCCCCCCGTACGTCGCCTCATGCCACCATTTTGTTCCTTAAAAAAGCTATTGCGCAACCTTCTGCGCGAAGGTCGGACTCGCCAAGATACGTCGGCCGTATTGTACGGGGGACGGAATGCGACCGGATAGTCAACCAGCGCGTGCGATCGATACGCACGCCCACCCCGCGATCCGCTTACAACCCCATGATACCTTATTTTCGATTTATGTGCAATAACGGCCACCGCTAGACTTACGTGCCGCGACTTATACATAGGGATTGTAATCTATTGTATGCCTCATAACGCGAAGCGTTATATACTGTATTACTCTCGACACGCCAAGGTCAAGCAATTTTGTGTTCTAAAAATGCCTCTATCATAACCATATTGCACTTATACGATAATGTGAGGAGCCGTATATCAAGAAAACACTGATTAATCCATCTTGTATTTTCTAAATCATTTAAAAAAAAACGGTTTGAAAAAAATTTTTACATGGGAGTCCGGATGTAGATTTTGTATGTGGTCACGATAACTCCCGAAAAAAAAATGACGTAATTTAAAAGCGCTTTCATATTTTTTTAGGCCTTGACAGACAAAGGACAAATTAATGCACCATACAGCCTACATCGATTTTATACTTTGTGTAATCGATTTTTTTTTGTTAAACATTATTATTTTTGTCCTTGTACCTGTAGTACCTGTTAAAATAATAAGGCGCGAAATTTAAAACACGTAAATAATACATTTTAAAAGTCAGGAATACAATTGTTTTCATCAAAATTAAATGAAACTCTCATGAGGCGTGCACTTTTGGATTTTCCAAACTATTTTTTTATTATACATAGTGTTTTTGAAATAATAGAATTAGTTAACTAAATCTAAACTACATCTGAATAACAGCATTGCAGTGTAACTTTATAACAAATTTATTTCATTTAATTTTCCTTAAAATACAATTTACTGAAGTTTCAATAGTTAATTTGTATGTACAATAAACAATGTACATGTCGTCCAAAGCAACATGAAACAATAAATAAACAATTTGTCATTTTCTCTTATAAAATTATATAAGCAAATACAAAACTCGTTTCTAAAAAAATCTACATATTCTAAGACTAGAAACACTACACAAGAAGACCTTGCATCACGAGATTCGGAAGTAGGTCTGGTACATTGTACCCAGCGAAGTGGTGAGGAACCAGGCGAAGCAACACCACCATGTCGCGAACCCAAATAGCCCACGGTGCACTTCCGTTGTGAAAACCTAGAATCAGACAAATATTGAAGGCATTAATCGTCATAAATACACCTGTTTTTACCCGACTGCACCAGTAGAAGGGTAATATTTTTTGAGTGTGTCTATGTATGTACATATTCTTGTGTCTACTTCTTTGGCACGCTCTGTAGGCTAGACGGCTTGATGGCTTTTAACATATGGGGCGTCATTACATTCGTCATAGTTGTAGAAGTAATATAGGGCCTAAACTTTTTCTCTTTTCACTAAACTTTTATACGCAGACTGTTTTTTTTTTAAATTACTGTTCTGACCATTGAATTTGTTACACCATAATTAGCGCAATTTTAAGTTCATTTCTATGGCCTGGGTTATATTAAAAAACACAACACTGATATAAGATTTAGAACTGGACGATCCACAAGTCAGCAAGTAAGTATACTGTGTCTGCTAAGCCAAGCAGTTGTTAATACACATTTGAATAATATAAACTCATCAACTCACCATCTTTAAATTCTCCCAAGCCATCTGGTACTGTTCCATGCCTTCAACTCCCAAACCACTGGTTATGGTGTTGTTTGCGGGGCTGGTTAGCCCCTTAGCCTCGTAGAACAGAGCCGTCCAGGAATACCCTCCGAGAGTCTTGTACATCAACGCGAAGTACAAGCACATAATGATTGGGCAGACATACTGAAGAGCTACTACACACAGGTAATAGAATACTGACGCTATCTGGAAACACGAGATTACATATTACTGTTATCGTTGCAGCCTACACAAATTTTACTGAGGATATTTGCCATAGGCAGGCGAGTTAGAAACCGTATTTTGAAATATTTTACTGGCTATCAGAAGACGCTTGTACCCATCTCTAAGTTTGTTTCCTTCCTCCTGTCGCCCCTTGTCGCACGGGATGACATGATGTAGTGAATATTCTTACACCGCCTCTACACATTAACGTTTTCTTGTATACGTAAACACGGGTGCACTCTCTATTCCCTCACACAATCCGATGGGACCGCAAAGACGAGAGAGAGCCAGCGCAGGACCAACTGCTTTACGTGCTTTCTGAGGCACGGGGGTGAAACAAAATGACAGTTAATGATATTTTGGACCGATCCGGGATTCAAACCCACTACCTATCATGATCAACAGACGCGTTTACAACCACTAGACCAATGATGCGGTCAAATGATAGAGAAATGGCTATGTCGCCTTTTATAGCAAGAAAGCCTCAGACTTTTCACATTACGAGTATCTCCTCTTACTACAAGCAAACGGCGATTATTCTTCTAGTTTCTTTCGCCGCAGTAAGAACAGGGGAGATCTTTTTTTTTTTAATAGGATAAGGGTGACAAACGAGCACACAGTCCAACTGATGGTAAGTGGTTGCTGCTGCACATAGACATCTACATCTATCCACGATTACGAATCAAAATCCAGATGCGTTGTCATCACCCGTGAGGACTAAGATTAAATGCCTCATTTCCAGTAAAAATCGTCTTCGGTTCTCTACACTCACCATACGAAACACAGCAGCGTTAAGCTGCTATTTTACGCTGGTATTCTGTGAGTGTGGCTCTGCCCCGGTCGAGCTGACCCATTCGTACTACAACTATACTGCAGCATGGCTCTACTATATAAAAATAGATCTACCGCCGTGCAAGGTGTTTAGCCCCAGGAGTGGCCAATGCTCCATGTGTTTGTACAGAGCTGATTCTTCAGTACTTTGATAGCGTAATTTAGGCAATGGTGGGTTTCGCTTGCGCTGTCCACAATTCTAGTAGGTAATTAAGATTTCTCATCAATCCTTCCCTTACTTTCTGGTTAAAACAAATTGGAATATTATATTATAGTAACTTACTCAGTAAGTACTCTACAGTATAGTCTACACTCACCATATGAAACACAGCAGCATTAAGCTGCCAGCTACCAGCATTTTACGCTAGTATTTGTGAAAGCGTGGTCTTCCCCCGGTCGAGCCTAGACATGTGTTAATCGTGAACGATTCGTTCATTTGACCTGAGTCATATTCAAGTATTGACGATTGTAATTAAATTTTGTGAACGTTCTGGATCAAACGATTGACAGAACCTACGACCAAAGAGTATAATAATGTCAGCCGATCGATATTATCGGACGGGTCTCAGAGATCACAGAGTATTGAAACTCGAAATGATCCATTTCAATGATCGACCCGAATGACACATGTCTAGTTTAGCCGACACATTCGTGCGTGAAGATGGCGTTTTAACTATCTCTTATCGGTCGAGTATAAACGAGATAGTTTGTTGCAGATATGTAGAGACAGACGCCTGTACAGATAAAACATTATTGGCGACAATGTTGGCCGGTGCCATATATAAATACTTCCATAGATAATAATGTACGTAATAATATTATTACGTCTATACTGTTTACTAGTTACTGAAGAACCGACAACCGACGGGGAAGAAAGGTTTTCGTGTCGCAGCAGCCAAAAGTGTACGGCGTCTCCCACTAGATGTAGTGACAACCTGGTAAGACATGCGGGAGCTCGATGGATGCAGGTCGCTCGGGTCCGTGCTTTGTGGCATTCCTTGGGGGAGGCTAATGTTCAGTAGTGGACTTGTGAAGGGCTGTAATGATGATGAATGATGATATACTGTTAATTGCCACGTACGGTGTCTGCTTTTGTGAACGTAGCTATTTACGTGGTAGAGCCATGCTGCAGCTATATTAGTAGTATAGTTGTAGCACGAATGGGTCGGCTCGACCGGGGAAGGACCACGCTCTCACAGAAAACCAGCGTAAAATAGCAGCATAACGCTGCTGTGTTTCGTATGGTGAGTGTAGAGAACCGGAGACCCTTTTTACTGGCAAAGAGGCATTCCATCTTAGTCCTCACGGGTGACAACGCATCTGCATCTTTATTGCGGATAGATGTAGATGTCTATGGGTCACAGTAACCACTTACCATCAGGTGGACTGTGTGCTCGTTTGTCACCCTATCCTATAAAAAAAAAGCTATAGGTTAAGCAACTTGCACTGCGTTGCGCGATTTATTTTCGATTTCTTTTAAGAGTCGTTTTGCAGTAAACAAAGTGCATGAAAACTCCCTTTTTAAAACTAAATACCTATTCAACTATTTATGAACCGTTTAGTTTTTTTTTTTTCATTTTAGGTCATCCTAAGTTGCTGAATGAATAGTTTGTAATATAAACTGTATTTACATACCTCTCGTATGTAATAAAACGGATCATTCTGAAGAACGAAATGTTTATTGAATATAGACGCCTCATGCATTAGACAGTGATTTGACAACTATATATATACAATCGCAGCTAGAAATTGCACAAAACTAGCGCTTTCAAGATACAGTCGGTATTTGAAACAAATGCACAGAAACCAGTTACCTGCTTCTGCAGTTCAATATTGGTGATCCTGCCGGCTTCCTTCTTCTGTGCGTCCAATCTTCGCTGGGCCATGTCCAGGTACGCTTGCAACTGACGTGGCATTAAACTCAGTCGGATCACCACCGCAATAACCACTAATATGAGACGAAGCGTGTCGAACGCTTGGGATGTCATGCTGTAATTGAAGGTTTTGTACTACTAATTGTATAAATATTACATTGTAAGTTATGCTTAAAAAAAGTCCCGCTGGCTTGGGCTGGTAAAAGAACCAGCAAGAGGTTCTTCCCAGGACAGAGGTTTTTTTTCGGAACAGTGGTAAAAGTTAAAAATGACTCAATAAGAACGTGGCGGCTTTTGCTGTCGCACGGATGGGCCAGCTCGAACCGGGGTGGTACCACGACCTCACAGAATAGCAGCGTGAAGTAGAGGTTTACCTCTGCGTTTCCCTTAGTGAGTGCAGGTGGCCGGAGGCCCTTTTTACTGGAAATGAGGCATTCCATGTTAGTCCTCACGGGTGACAACGCATCTGCATTTTGATTTGTAATAGAGGATAGATGTAGATGTCTATGAGCCACAGCAACCACTTACCATCAGGTGGACTGTGTGCTCCTTTGTCACCCTTATCCTATTAAAAAAAAAAAAGAATTACATGTAATCAATATTGAATAAAAATTCTTCTATTCTATATTGTAAATTTTGTATGACCTTCAGTGGCACTGTGGAACTGTGGTGGCCATTGTGATTGACTTCGACATCTGATGTTTGTTGGTGTTGTATTGTGTGAATGTATATATGTATATAAAGTCAAGGAAAAGTTTTTGCTTTTTTTATATTTCCATATTGTATTTTCTATGTTTATATTTAGATCAAACCACAAATGTTTTCTTATTCTTAAATACTTACAGGGGCTTATCCATTCCGCTGAAAACCCTGACTGTTAGGTAGTTCCTGGTGATGGGTCGTACCCACAGAAGCGCCAGGACGAAAGGCATCGCAAAGTTCACATTCAGAAATAACGTCTTCACTTTGTTATCGTCGTAATACCTGCGTATTATATACATTTTAATTTAGCTACTTTTTTAACTGAATTCTAAAGAGGGCATAACTATTTTGCTTAGTATTACCGATTTTATTCTTTTTTTAATTAAAAAGGTTATACTTCAAGTGATGGTCCCATTTAAATTTGGAGAAGAAATCTATTCCTAAGGATGGAAAATATCTACAAGGACGGATTTAGATTTTTGAAGTCGGGGCTTTAAGGTGTGTAGGCTTGTTGCTAGGCAAATAAAAGCGTCTTCACTCTTCCAAAATGTATATAATATTTCCTTCACAAAGAAGTTCAAAATTAAAAACACGTAGCAAAAAGATAAAAACAAATCAATAAGAAAACACAATTAATCAGAAGTAAGGAGTGCTTGCGATAGGATACCGAGAATAAGTTAGTCACGATTTAAGCATCGATGTGTTTCGCTTTTGGCGCGACGACAGCGCCGCCACATCACCCCGCTGCTCAGACCGGAGGTCGATAGTGCAGTCTAGATGTCGACGAATTTGCAAGTGCCAGGAATTGCCTTGTAGTCTGCGGTGAGTCGAGAAGAAGGCAAGTAACCTGCGAGTGCCGTGAAGCAGTAAGGCTCAGAGCCGTGCCGAACACTGTAGCGCAGAGAGTAGCTTGAAGGAACAGGAAGCATTATTATTCCAGTGCTGCGATGAACCTTTGTAAAGCTAGATGGCTTGCAGAATGTGAAGACTGCAGACAATAACTGCTCGAGAGCGAATGAATGGGGTACTTGAGGATGATGAAGGTTTGAAGGTGTAGTTTCCGATGGTTTGTTGGTTGCGTGTTCATATCACGTCGGTTGGTCACCAGTGTGGCGGGTGGAAAGAAAAGGGGAGATCTCCCGCCGGGCAAGGTGTTCTGCCCGGGGAGCGGCCAACGCTCCTAGTGGTAGTTCGAAGCTATTCTGTATATACTGCTTCAACTTCGGAATTTTGTTAGCGCGATTTAGGCTTCGATGTGTTTCGCTTTTGGCGCAACGACAGCGCCGCCACAGGTGAAAGCTCCAGGGTGGCCCGCGAAATTCAAATTTTCTTAGGTTTTATTCGACTTTGCAGGTCAGGGTCAGAATGAGTTTTTCTGGAAATAGCCATACAATAGGATTATACGAACTTAGGGCGTTGTATTGATGATTATAATTCTGTAAATACATACTCATCACGGTCGCGAATCATATTTTATTAAACATACAACCTGACACTGACCTACAAATTGCAAAAAACGTAAGAAAATTTGAAATTCGCGGGCCACCCTGGAGCTTTTACTTTAAAGAGGATTGCGCGGTGCCGACACGCGGCGCGAGTTGGTATTTTAAAAATGCTATCAGTTCCAAGAGAGTCACAAGTCTTGGAGCCTACATTTCCTTTGTGAAATATTGTTTCGGGCTATAACGTTTTCGGTTTTCACCTCCCTAAACCTTTACAAAATGAGACCACTTTGGTCTCATGGGACTCAGTACACTTTAATCTTCTATTTTAGTAATTCAGTTTAGTTTAAAAAAATGCTCGAGGAAGTTTTTAAGTCAAAAATATAGATATTGAGTACGTATACTAATAACTTATATCGTACGCAATATTTCTTTAAAGTAAAAACGTACGGATCTAGTTTTTCATTATATTTTGGATGGTGGAAGGAAAAGAGGAGATTTCCCGCTGGGCAAGGTGTTCTGCCCTGGGAGCGGCCAACGCTTCAAGTTGTAGTTCGGAGCTATTTTATATATACTGCTTTTACTTCGGAACTTTAATAGCCCAATTTAGGCTTCGACGTATTTTCGCTTGTGGCGCCACGACAGCGCCGCCGCAAAATCTACATTTCCAAAAGTTATGAAAATTTAATCCTTTTAATCCTTCTTTACACTATGTCTTACCACCGACTATAGAATCTATGTGTTTTTTTACCCTTTAGTTTTGAAGACGGTTTATATCTTTTTTTAAAGTTTATTTTTAAAACTTACTAATTAATTAGCCTTCGCACGGTTGCGATTACTAATGTGGTGTAATCTTTTTATGATTTGGCCAAAGTACGGCAGCATTTCGCTACTGTCCAAATGTAATATTTAATAAGGTAGTCTATCTTAGTTCTCAGGTCTTCGTAAATAAATGTAGGTCATTATGGACCGCAGTATATGATCATGACCGCTGATAAAACCATATCATGCAAAGTTGAAGTCCATACTCTTTATTGTTATGATTCACTTTTTAAGCACCGTTCTGGAAGTTTGTAGCTCATTGTATAACTATATGTAATATAATATGAAATATAATACTTCCAGATTTTTATATAGGCATTTTAATGACTTACAAAACCATTAGAAAAAATGGTATACTGGAATCTCTATGTTGCCATATTGTAATTTACTTGTAATGTAATAATTACCTCAGAGAATCCCAGTGCATCCTGGCAACCCTCAGGCCAGGGAACGTAAATAAAGTTCCGATTATAGCAGCCCATACAGCAAGAGATAATTTCAATATCAATTTTGAAGCTGGACCTCTGAAAAAAGTATTTAACCATTTAAAATTCACATAATTGTAAATAATGCTGCTAGTTTAATTGACATGCATGGCAAGTCAACTTGCTATAGTACATAATGATATTTAGGGTTGAGTTTAACTCTAGAATTGAATTTGTATTTTTAGAATTCGCACTAAAATTATTAAAAAAAAATCCCTCATGCATCAGACTATAGTCTAATGCTCGCAAAGTTGGGTTTCTACTGAAAATATTACCTTTGATGATATCTTAATATACGACATTTTAATGATTTCTTATATTTACGCGAACACTACACATTTAAATAAAACTAATTTTACGGATTTTATCGCGTATATTAACTTATTTTACTTTCCCGACGTTTCAAGCACTTTACAGCACCCATGGTCACGGGGGGGACTGAGGTGTATGACGTCCCAATGTCATAGTTAACCACGGCTACCTCCAGATTAAAAATTATTAATTTTTGTTCCGATCTACGCAGTATGAACTTACAGTATCATGAAGTCTTGCAGTTGTATGCTTGGGTTGGGATTTAATTTTATTAATTATGGGATCCCAAGCAGATGGTAGCACCCAGCCATCTTCTCTATTGAAATTAGGATGTTTTTTGATTTCAATAGCCTCGCGAATCATCCTTGGAAGGAATCGGTGTTCTTTAGCGAGGATTTGTGGTCTATCAAATCTAATGTAGTGACGGGGGCGATCCTGTACGTGTTCACAGACTGCAGACTTCCCGGAGCGTCTATTCTTCACATCAGCTATGTGTTCTTTAACGCGGGTTTTTATGGATCTTTTAGTTTGTCCTATATAAGAGAGACCACATTCACAATCCAGCTTGTACACTCCTGCATCTTGCAGAGGAATATTACACTTGACTGATGGTAAAAACTGACTAATCTTCTTCGGCGGCTTGAAATATGTTTTAATGGAAGCACGCTTCAAGATGTAGCCAATCTTGTCAGTGACACCTCTGACATATGGCAGTACAGCAGGCACTCGCTCGACTGTGGCCGGCTTCACTCGTTCACTGTGACGTAGGCGCGGGACCCGAAGCTTATTGTCGTGCAAAACTTGCTTGACGTGTTGGAGCTCGGCGGCCAGGTGTTTACTGTCACAGATCCCTCGTGCTCTCTGAAACAGTTGTTGTTTGTTGTTGCTGAGAACAACTGTTTCAGAGAGTGCCATATGTCAGAGGTGTCACTGACAAGATTGGCTATATCTTGAAGCGTGCTTCCATTAAAACATATTTCAAGCCGCCGAAGAAGATTAGTCAGTTTTTACCATCAGTCAAGTGTAATATTCCTCTGCAAGATGCAGGAGTGTACAAGCTGGATTGTGAATGTGGTCTCTCTTATATAGGACAAACTAAAAGATCCATAAAAACCCGCGTTAAAGAACACATAGCTGATGTGAAGAATAGACGCTCCGGGAAGTCTGCAGTCTGTGAACACGTACAGGATCGCCCCCGTCACTACATTAGATTTGATAGACCACAAATCCTCGCTAAAGAACACCGATTCCTTCCAAGGATGATTCGCGAGGCTATTGAAATCAAAAAAACATCCTAATTTCAATAGAGAAGATGGCTGGGTGCTACCATCTGCTTGGGATCCCATAATTAATAAAATTAAATCCCAACCCAAGCATACAACTGCAAGACTTCATGATACTGTAAGTTCATACTGCGTAGATCGGAACTAAAATTAATAATTTTTAATCTGGAGGTAGCCGTGGTTAACTATGACATTGGGACGTCATACACCTCAGTCCCCCCCGTGACCATGGGTGCTGTAAAGTGCTTGAAACGTCGGGAAAGTAAAATAAGTTAATATACGCGATAAAATCCGTAAAATTAGTTTTATTTAAATACGACATTTTCTATAGCTTAAGTGTGTTTTCATAAAATATTCAGTAACTTCAAAATTTTGATATTTTGAAAACTGAGCTTAATTGCTAAACATGGTTTATGGAATCGCATAATAATTATCATAAAAGACCTATCTAACCATAGATAATATACTATATAGGACATGTCTAACGCTGGAAGTCGAAAAAGATTTTGTATAAATTATTTGCATTTCGAGGAATGTATTATAATTAAGATTTATATTGAAAATATATATTCTAAAATGTTATGTTATGTTTTTACGATTAATAATATTGTATTGAAGTGATAGTAATCCAATGGTTAAAGCTTGTAGACTGCAAACTCTTACAGTCTTATTCCAAAAAAATGTTTTAGTACTGGGTTAAGTTTAGGAGTAAGAAGTCCAGGTTTGTTACAATATTCTAGTTAATACCAGCACTAAAACGTGTGCTTATTACAAAACGCAGACTACCCGAGGACCAGTTAATACCAACGTTAGTATTATATTAAATATCATTCACAGATAAAAAACAAAAAATGACACTCTATCATTCGTTCATACAGGTTTCATTCAATGCAACGTTCGGTTTCATAAAATATTAATATTATTTTCACATTTAATTATGCTTAAATAATTATCCATCAATACAAAAACATATCATACATTGTTATTTGTTTACGTTAAAATCTATTGAACAAGCACGACATATACTTTTGACGCGCTTTTGATTATATCAAGTTGTTTTCAGTTTAACAACTCTAGCGTGAAATGTAGTGAATTACAGAGGTAACGCGAGCGCGGGATTCGAGACGTTCAAAATAGTTTATATTGCAGCCTTATAATAAGTAAATTAAATTATTAATAATTAATTAAGTACTTGCTATTACAATTATATTTATATAATAATGGAACAAAAGAAAAAACGGGGTGAAAATTGGAGTTCTGAAGAAAAAGTTAGTGAAATATCGAAATTTATTTGTCAGTACGTAGCAATACTCTTATCCTCCTATTATCCTTATTTCAACTAAAAGGAATGTTCTTATTATTATAGGAAATATTACGTACACTTATTTCACAATCAGCACATATAATAGAGAATAAGTCGACAAAAACATCGGTAAATATTCAAAAAATAAAAGAGTGGAAGAATATAACTAATAAGTAAGTACTTATCGCATTTGTTATGTGTACAAATAGGTACGGTATTGTTTACGTGATTTCGTATTATTTTTTTTAGATTTAATGAGCTAACAGGTAAACGCCGATCAGATGGTGAATTGAAATTATCTTGGAAAAGAATGAAGTTGTGTGCTAAATCAAACTTATACACATATAGGAGGGAACAATCAAAGACCGGGGGTGGCGGAAAACCTCCATCACCTTCTCTTGAGGACTTGGAAATAATGTCCATTGCCCCTCACGACTTTATCGTTGAAGTTAATAATTATGATAGTGATGCAGTGGTAAATAAAATTACTTACATGTCTTACAAATTTAATTAAAATTAAAGAACTTTATTTTCCATTACTTTAGTACCTAGGTAGTGCTCTGAAATCTACTCTTAAAGCATACAATTTACAATCCAAAATTATTTTCCGAATATTCAAAATTTAATATACTTAGTAACAATTTAACATAAATTCCTTTATAATTAATTATATTCAAAATTGAAATGTCACAAATTCATATATAGTGGTCTATATAATATCATAACACACATTTTACTAGATTATCTACACAGTCCGATTATAATTTTCTATTAGGTATTATAATTAATAATTTATTAAATTACCTTTTGTCTTGGATCATAATAATATTTCTACAACATAGAAAATACCTGATTCAATAAAGGGCAAAATAGAGATGACAGGTGACAGGAAAACATGTTAATAAATGTTTTAATGATTTATTTTAGGATCCAGTGACTGTGGCTACAACATCAAAAGAAGTTGCTGACCCTAAGCCTCGCCTTAATTTTGAAAAAACAGACACAGCTATAGTTAAAAATGTAGAAAATCCAGAACCCAATGTTGTATATGTGCAAGGTAAATAATACTGATTGAATATTTATTAAAAAGCAAAATATATTATTATTATAGTTACAATCATATGCATACAAGTTTGTAAATATTATAAATGTTAATTTTCTAAAACTGTTATATTTATATTAATTTTTAGAGATAGATCCAACTACAAATACAGAAGAAAGTGCCAAAATGGTGAAAATAACCAACAATAAAGATATTATTACTAGGGGTATAACAAAAATTAAAAACAGGAAAAATAGCTTGCAAAATAGGTATGTTGAAAAAATTACATAGTCTGATACATTACATACTTTTTAAAATGTGAAAATTAGTATTTAAACACTGAAAATTGTTTCATGTTTTCAAATATTAAAAGCAAAGTTTAATATGAATTGATTTAAAAATAATTAAAAAATATTTCTTTAATTGGTGTACAAGGTTAAGTGCACTTTTATTACTCTAGAATACTTTGTAAATTTCTAAAATAACTACAAAACTTACATTAAGTATTCCATTTCATTTTACAGAAGAGAAGATGTACACCAAACAATTGTAAAAAGTAACACAGATTTTAAAAAAAGACAACTGGAAATGATGGAAGAGGAACATAAATACAATATTAAAATAGCTAACCTAAAAATTAGAAAATTAGAGTTACAAATATTTTTATTAGAAAGTCAGAAAAACACAAGTTAAATAGCAGCTTAATGCTGCTGTGTTTATTATGGTGAGTTTATAGAATGAAAATAGAATAGAATGATTTTTATTAAATATAGATTATTACAGAATACTTATTGAAAGACATTTTTTATTTACCACTGGTTCGGAAAATACCTCAGTCCTGGGAAGAACTAGTAAGAAACCCAGCGGGACTTTTTTATAAACATATTTCTCTTAACAATAATTTTATTTGTACAATTTTTAAATGAATTTTAATAGAACCACCATGGTGGCGATCACCTCAATTCCAGTATTTCCAATATTCTCATTTATGTATTCTTTGATATTATAATAACCTTTTTATAAAATTTTTCTTTAATAAAACATTTAAACTTGTTTATTGACAAATTTTGGATAAATTTTTGTACAAATTTTGTATGAGAGAGACCTCTTTTACAGGAAACGAGGCATTCCATCTTACTCCACACGGGTGACAACGCATCTGCATTTTGATTTGTAGTCGAGGATAGATGTGGACGTCTATGCACCACAGCAGTTACTTAACATCAGATGGACTGTGTGTGTGTATGTGTGTGTGGTAGACTGTGTTTTATCACCATTATCCTATAAAAAAACTAAATATTTGAGACTATATCAGATACATGTTTGTAAATATCCTCATATATGAAACAATTATTTTCAGGTACTAAATTGCTGCAAATATTTGTACATCTTTTATTAATAATTAAAATAAATAATTATAATTAATATGCATTTTATTTACATAACAGTGAAATATAATATACAATAGTAAAAAACTATAATAAAAAAAACTAAACCTAATTACTTAGTCATCATACAGTCCTACTCCCCGTGGACCCGTGCACCTCTGGAAAGGAAATCCGGCTGTGAATGTAGAGGAGGGACGATATTTATTAAAAAATCTAAACATATCTCTAAAGCACTTAAATCTTTATATAATATAGCTTCATATTGATGTGGAATGTGCTGTACCCCGCATCTTTCCCTGAAACACAATCATTTATAGCCTAAATAAAAGCATTTTGCTCAATAAATGAAATATTATCACAATACTACCCTGAATTTATTTCATATTGGTGAATATGTAGTCGTTATTCTTTGACAGCTGACAACGGCTCTGCAGAAATATTTTCCTTTATAAATGGGTATTATCTCTGAAATCAAAAAGAAATATTATTATAATTGTCTTATACATTTATTGATCCTTAATGTAATTTTATAGCCAAAATTGGCCTCTGAATAACAAAATAAAATAAATTATATATACATAGCTTTAGACAATTGAAAAAAAATTGACAATTTTATAAATATAATTATTAATTTTAATTATAAATAGCTATATAAATATGTAAAAAAAAAATGTTTACCTACTGAAAATGAGTTTCAATAAACTGTCTTCTTCTAATATTTCCCCTTATTGATGGTGCAATATATCTTTGTACTATAGGTTCAGATGAATATTGTTCAATGCTATCTCTCTCACCAGGAAACACATCTTCTCTCATGTCGATGGCCATATTGTGTAGTACAGCACATGCAACAATTGTTTTTTTTGCTGTTTCAATATCTCCAAACATACCTCTTAATAGGCAACGAAACCGTTGCTTCCACAAACCAAAACATCTTTCCACTGTGTTCCTGGTACAGATATGGCTCCTATTATATCTTTCTTCTTGTGGTGTTGTGGGGTTCAGCAGCGGTGTAAATAGGTAAGGGGTACAAGCATAGCCACTGTCACCAAGTAATATTCCAGAGAATGCACCAGCCTCAAACCTCTGTTTTAGTCTACATTCTCGGAATATTCTGGAGTCATGTACACTACCACGCCACCTGGTAACAATGTCCATGATTTTCAGGTCAGCGTCACAAACCACCTGTAAAATAAGAGCTCATTAGTACTTTATGTTTTTCTGGTTTATTTTAATATATATTTATTACCATAAGATAGTCAAACAAATTATTTTCTATTATGATAAAGTAAAGTTATTAAGAGACAATCACAGCTATTTAAAATATTTGTATATTACCTGTACATTAATTGAAGAAAATCCTTTTCTATTAATATATAACTGACCCCCATCAGCATTCACTTTCTTTACTCGTATGTGAGTACAGTCAATTGCGCCAATTACTGTAGGAAAATTAGCAATACTGCGAAATTTCCTAATGGTTTCCTGCTGTTCATTTAAAGTAGTAGGCATTTTAATAAATTCTCAGGGCTTCCGTGACAAAATTTCCGCTACTTTTTTACATGTCCTACTTACTACTGGTTGAGACACACCATGTAAATCAGCTGTATCGTCTTGAATCTACGAATAAAACAATAATATGTATTATTTGGCTTTTTATCTAGCGTAATGTTAGGTACATTGACCCCACCAAGATTATAAACAGCACTTACTTCATGGCGAGCCCAGTTGCGTAATGCACAAACCACTTGAATTTCAGGACTCAATGGGCATCCTCGAGGGTCGTGCACTAAATCCTCACGTAAGATACCCACTATTTTTTCTCCGAAACGTTTTGAGAACCTATACTTATACCTAAAATCTTCGTCACTCAATTCATACGGATTCACACGATGTCGATGTCTATCAGGTCGCCGAGTGGTGTCTAGCATGTCCAAATCTTCTAAATCCATCAAGTCAATCATGTTAATATCCATTTTTAACGATTTTAATAACACCAAATGAAAACAACGCTCACCTCAAATTAAGAAGTACCGAAATTGAGGTTAGTATAGAGTACCACAAACTATATAGAAAGGTTAGTACCATAGCTAAACTAGGGGTCTCGAAAGATTAACTTTAATACCATAGATAATCCTTGAACCAGAGATAATCTTCGTTTTGTAATAACGTTTTTCTTAGTTTATGGTTTAAATATATTACTAACTCCAGTACTATATTAAGTCCGTGTTTTGGAATAAGGCGGAGAAAGTCATGGGTTCAAATTCACTCTTTCTAAGTTGGTATAGCAGCGAATCCCTAAAAATATTACTATATCTGAATAATAAAAAAAACTTAAGCTTAACAAAATAAACAAATACTTGAATAATTGCAAAACAAAAAACAATGTAATTAACCGACTTCAAAAAGGAGGAGGTTCTTAATTCGAGTTTGTTTTTTTTGTATGTATGTTACGCAATATCTGTGCAGATTGTAAACCAATTTTGATGATTCGTTTTTTTTATTAAATAGGTTATACTTCAAGGGTGGTCCCATATACATTTGGAGAAAAAACTCCACCCCTAAGGGAATGAATGAATAACTTCTTTTTTAGCAAGTTGGATTTTACATTTTGTTAAGTTATATTATATATATCTATACAAATAAATAAAATTGAAGTGTCTGTTTGTAATGTCAAAATTACAGTTTTTTACTAAATGCATATGAAAGTAAATACGATACCTATAACTAAAATACAATTTTTAAAATTTTTGTCTGTCTGTCTGTCTGTTTGTTCCGGGTAATCTCCGAAACGGCTGGACCGATTTTGACGGGACTTTCACTGGCAGATAGCTGATTTCATAAGGAGTAACTTAGGCTACTTTTATTTTAGAAAAAGAATCAGGGTTCCGCGCAGAAACATAAAAACCCTAACACGCGAACGAAGTCGCGGGGAACAGCTAGTATATAAATATAATTCAAATACTTACACAGATGACAGGCCTTGATTCTGTAGAAACTTTGAAGCATTATCATAGAAACTATCATATGCGGGATCAACGCCGACTTCAAGGTTGGATTCATCAATGATCAGTACCATCATTGCTATGAGCAAGAAGACACAGAATGCCACAATGCATGTTGATCGTTCACCTATTGACTCGTCACTTGTGAAATACTGCTTTGTTAGCGATAGAAGGATTTTGCTGTTTGGACGTTCAGGATATCAATTTTAAATTAGTTAATAATAATTCCTTATTTCAATTATAATTCTTTTTTGAAAGAACGGAGCATCAAGGTCGTTGTAGACGGTGCATGATCCGACTACAAGCCTATTAACGCTGGTGTTCCACAAGGCTGCGTGCTATCACCAACGCTGTTTCTTCTGCATATCAATGATATGTTGCAATCTGGTAACATTCATTGCTATGCGGATGACAGCATTGGTGATGCTCTATACACCGGCCGTGCCAATATTTCTCGGGAAAACGTCGCCGAGTACCGGAACAAACTTGTGTCTGAAGTCGAGTCTTTGCTGAACAAAGTCTCGGATTGGGGGCGACTAAATCTAGTCCAGTTTAATCCTCAGAAGACAAAAGTTTGCGCGTTTACCGCTAAAAAGAACCCCTTTGTCGTATCTCCTCAGTTTCAAGGCACTCTCCTTTTTGCCTCAGCCAGTATCGGAATCCTCGGCGTCGACATATCGAGTGACGTGCAGTTTCGTGGTCACTTGGAAGAGAAGGCCAAATTGGCCTCTAAAAAGCTTGGCGTGCTCAGCAGAGCGGGACAGTATTTCATGCCGGCACAACGCCTGCAACTTTACAAGGCGCAGATTCGGGCTCACATGGAATACTGTTCTCATCTCTGGGCTGGGGCTCCCCAGTGCCAGCTCCTTCCACTTGACCGCATCCAGCGCAGAGCGGGTCGAATCTTCGACGACCGAGTCCTTTCCGATCGGCTCGATTCATTGGCGCTGCGAAGAGATGTTGCATCTCATTGCATTTTCTTTCGCATTTACCACGGGGAGTGCTCTGAGGAATTGTTCGGATTAATCCCAGCCGCTAATTTCACGAACGCACATCGCGGCAGAACTCCCGATACCATCCACACCATCTGGATGATTGGCGGTCCACCACTGTGCGATTTAGAAGAAGTTTTCTTCCTCACACAACTTCCTTGTGGAACAGTTTACCACCAGCTATTTTTCCGGACCGATACAACTTAGGGACCTTCAAGAAAAGAGCCTACTCCTTTTTAAAAGGCCGGCAACGCATCTGCAATTCCCCTGGTTCCCCTGGTGTTGCGGTCGTTCACGGGCGGCGGTAGTCACTTACCATCAGGTGAGCCGCATGCTCGTTTGCCCCCTCCTATAAAAAAAACATAAAATTTACATGATTTTACGTGATTTTTTTAAATAAAAAAAATACTAGTAATGCTATTAAGCATTACTAACATTCCATTAAACCACTTCTGGTAAGCTTAAAATGCTAGTGTTAGAAGTGGTTCACGACAGTATTCAAATGGCGGATTCGAACCCACGACCTTTCGAGTTCGCGGTCCTCGCCCTGTCATTAGGCTACTGACGCTTACTATGTGATTGACTGTGTAGTGGCGGCGTGAGAATATCCAATATCCCATATCGTCCCGTGGGTGTCCATCCAAACCAAAAAATGGATAGCAGCGTCTTCCTAATGATAACTAAAAAATAAAAAAGTGTGTGTTATGTACGCACGTAGGAAGTTATACTTTATGCCTCACAAGATTTTTTGTTTTGTTACTTAGAGTAACAAAACAAAAAATCTTGAGAGACATATACTCACTGAAGTTTCTCTCTCGTTTTTAGATGTCAGTTTGTGCGCGCATCGTAACAACCTCATGGTGTCATTTTTAGGTGTCGGTGTGCGCGCGCATCGTAAAATTCACTCTCATCATTTTCCCCAAACGCCCCAAAAGAAATATAACTTCAAAAAACTGCAGTTGCAAACCCATCTGACAAGCATGGCAACTATGGCAAATATTCCCCTCTGAGGCAATCTACAACCTTATGTTCAGCAGTGGACTTTAATGTACCTATTAAAGTCCACTCCAAGGATACAACTGAGTGGTAATTTAGAGAAAGGAAATTATGCCAAAACACGGTTGCAACACGGTCGGCTCCTGCGACGACGTCCTAATAAGAGCATAGGCGATGGTCAGGCAGGTTTTAGGGTCCACTAAACAAACCGTACTAGGCTTTTGCAAAAAATATCGATATAACATATCCTCGATATTTATAATCGCGATATATCTATATTTATTTTAGAGTATCGAATTCGTATCAATTTCGATATATCGCTTGTTTGCGAGAAGCTTGACATAATTCAAAAATCAGCAGTTTTGAGTTAAGTATACAGGTGAACGCAGAAAATTTTGTTCTATTTGCTGCAAAAACGACATTACGCTAAGTACAAAAATGAGAGAGCGAGAGAGGTTGTGCCTTTATGTTCCGTCGCAATCTTACTGCTGCTTTGTTTCGAGACCGTATCATCTCAGTTAGCGTGGAAACGTTTTAGATTGTGCACGTGCTTGATTTCAGCGACGACGACAAATTTTGTGGTACGACGTTCTTTTTGCAAGGTAAGTCAATAATATTACGTAACCCTTTAATAGAAAGATGTCATTACTATACTTATGACGACCTTTTATTTGAAATACGTTTAAAAAACCACCGTCAAATTTTCCGTTAAGTCGTTCTTTCTGGAAACACAAACAAATATCGACAGTCATAATTCGTTAATGTACATTTTTGATAGCAAAAGTAAATCAATAGACTATTTCAATAATGTCATATTATAAGTTACATTGTTATTGTTGTTAAAGTCACAGAATATTTCTTGATGTTATTTGCACTATTTTATATTAAGTCATTATTGATAATAACAATTTTATGTTTAAGGTACTTCTTTGATAGTCATGGATTCCAGTTTAAGAAATAGCAGAGGGAGAAGAATGTTGGTTTTAATTAATCACCGTGTAGATGGACCTCCGAAAACAGTGTCAGATGAAAAAGGTTAATTATAGTTACTTATTTATAACCTATTTTTTATTATTCACTTTGTTTGTTTTAATTTACTTGTTTACTTGATTTTTAGAAAACGATGATACCAATGAAATTGAGGGCAATGTTTCTTCAAAGGAACATAGCAGTGGAAATACTCAACGCAGTCGATCCAACAGCTCCTCTTCCTCGAGCTCTTCCAATAGCAGTACAAGTTCTTCATCATCTACTTCATTCATTGAAGGTAATTTTTCAGTTTTATACCAATTTACGAGTTTATATTTTCAAATATGTTCCTATTTATTCAAGGCCTGCTTGGCAGAGATAAGTTGGTAGTAGTTAAATAATATTACTATTAGACCGTTAACGTTTCTTTTATTTTACAGATAGTGATGATTCCGTCAAGGATCCTCCCTCCCAACCACCTGACAGTCAAGCCCCCGTGTCTCCAATAATGGTTGACTACTTTAGTGAAAATGATAATGAACAATTTAGACAGTTGCCGGTATAATCAGATTTAGTCATAATCAAGTTCCAGGTCAAGAAAATACAGAAAATGCAATAAAGAAGAGAGGAAAACGTAAAAGAGATGAAAATAACTGGCAAAAGAATGTTATGAAAAAACTAAGAAATAAAGGAAAATCTTATGTGAGTACTTCTAAAAAAATTAGTAGTACTCACATAAGAGAAGAATAGTACCAGCGCGTAAAATTAAAAATGCCTGTTTTGAAAAATGCAAATTGAAGTGTAGCACAAAGTTTACTGAAGCTGAAAGAATGTCTATATTCGATGATTATTGGTCGCTAGGCAGTATTTTAAAACAGTGGAATTAATTATATTTCTAATTGTATAGAGGATATAAAACCTAAGTATCGCTATGTACGTGAAGGTGGCACCAGAGAAAAGCACCGGTACAATAGTGCATTTTATTTTAATTTGCATGAAGAAAAAATAAGAGTGTGCAAATTGTTTTTTTAAAAATACGCTTGGAATCACAGATCTACCTATCCGAACAGTCTTAGATAAAAAAAATAAAGCTGCAGGGAATCTTTTAGCAGACGATAATAGAGGGAAACACAAAAATCACGCAAAAGTTGATGATACTATCCGTAAAGCAATAAAGGAACACATTGATTCTATTCCAAGAATGGATTCCCATTATTGTAGAGCCACCTCATCCAAAGAATATATAGATGGTGGTAGATCAATTGTCGATATCCATAAAGATTACATAGAAATCTGTAAGTCTGAAATCATTCCATATGAGAATTATACTCTGTTCTACAGAATTTTTACGGAAGAATATAATATTTCACTATTCCAAACAAGAAAAGATCGTTGTGATTGTTGTGTTGCTTATGAGAACTATGAAGGCGAAGAAAAAGAAAGGAAGAAGCAAGAATATGATACGCATTTAAAAGAGAAAGACCTATGCCGAGCAGAAAAAGTCAAGGATAAGGAAAACAAAGATGCAGTTGTCGCTTTATGACATGCAAGCTGTGTTCCAATGCCCCAAAGGGGATATCTCATTATTTTATTATGTAAGCAAGTTAAATGTCTTTAACTTCACTATATACGATCTTCATTCTAAATCTAAATCTAAAAATGTAGAATCTTATGTTTGGGATGAAGCTACAGCCAACAGGAGCGTTAATGATTTGGGCACCTGCCTATTTAAATATTTACAAAATCTGGATCAAAACAACAGCACAGTGGATGTAATATTTTATACCGATAACTGTGTGGGCCAGCAAAAAAATAAAATTATGTTGTCTATGTACGTTTGCTGTGCAACATTACCCAAACATAAAAACAATTACTCACAAATATTTAATTAAGGGACACACCCAAAACGAGGGTGACTCTGCGGATTCCCTCATTGAAAGGCAGATTAAAAAGCAAATCAGAAGTGGTCCAATGTACACCCCTGAGGCCTTTATTAGTGCAATCAAAGTTGCTAGATCAAACCCTACACCTTTTCGGGTAAATATAATGAACAATGATGATTTTCTCGATTGGAAAGGTGTCTGTTCTCAAATGGGTGTAAACATAACAAAGGATGAAGAAGGAAACACTATGAAATTTGCAGACTTGAAAGTTGTGAAAGTAGATAAAAATCATCCTCGAGTCATATATTTTTTAAAACTTCTTATGAACAGCAGAGTTTAA